CTTGTAGGGGAGCTTGGAGCCTTCCAGAACGGAAGTGATAGCGGAGGTAGTAGGAGTCCGGGAGACCACAGATCTGCGAATCTTCACAGCACGAGTAAAGGCATCAACACGGCTCATCAAGTTCTCATCCTCCATGGACTTCTCCAGCGCGTAACCTGGAAGCTTTCCGCGAAGGGAAAGATCGATCAGTTCCTCATCGGTAAGGATGGGCGCACGCTTTTCCTTGAGCAGGGCCTCGCATTCTTCCGCAGTCCTGGTTGACTGTTGTTCATTGGGTTCAAACTTGGGGTAGACCTTCGGTGCGGCCACAGGCTCCGCGGGAAGAGCGGGGGCAGTCTCAGGGTCCTTGATACTCCAGCGAGCAGCATTGAAAAGATAGCCGTTAAGGATGATGCTAAGAGTCAAAGCGGCGATGATCCACTTGCTGATGATAGGGTCCTCAACGCTCTTGAGCAGACTTTCAAGAACCTTGCCACCCACGGCATCCAAGAACTGATCGGTGTACTCGATATCAAACGAACCAGAGTCGGCAGGGGCTGCGTAGTGAATGGAGGGGTACTCCAACTTGTACTTGATCGGGGAAAGGATGGTAACAATAGTCTCCTGCTTCTGGCTCTTGGCAGCCACATACACAGTGTCCAGGCCGTTCTCTGCCACCTTGAAGGGATCAATTGGGGTAGGGGACAGAACGCTGGAGAAACGGGAGAGCAGGCCACCGTTGCCAGTGTTCCGGAAAGGGATAGCCGACATGTTCACAACATTGATCAAGATCAGACCACCAACCATGAGAATCTTGAATCGGCGCACGTTGCTGGACTTGATCTTGCGACCAAAGATACTGGTGTCCGCCTCGCCAGATCCGGCGCTAGGCCAGTCGTTGCTAGAAGCGACATTCTCGGCAACAGTGTGAGTAATACCATCCTCTTCTAAGGCCTTGCGTAGCGCCACGTGACGCTTGATCCGAGTGATCTCGAGCTTGATACAGAGAATGGTGGTATAGAAGGTGAAAAGAAGCACGCAGTCAAAGAACAAGATCAAGGCTGCAAGGAAGCAGAACTGCTGGAGTCCACCTTGAACGCCAGAGGCCGCACCCAAAGCCAAGAGACCAATCTCAATACAGTAGTGCTGAACGATCTCGAAACCTTGGTCCTTGATCGCAGCTGCGATAGAGTCCTGAATGGATCGCGGTGTGCTCGATGACAGCGGACGAGGAGCGGCACCAGCACCAGCTCGGCGATTGTCCACGGAAGCTTTCAGGACGGCCCGAGTAAACATAATCGGCTTCTCGAATCCAATGGTAACAACCAAAAATGGGAGACCTTCGGACAGCAGGAGGAGGTTGATAGGCACACCAAGTTTCGTAGTAACGTGTAGACCAAAAAGGAAAGCAAAGGTACCAGAAAGGAGCACGGTAGCCGCAAGCCAAAAGTTGGAGCCCAATCGTCGCATGGAGAAGAAAAGTGAGACGAAGCTCAGGTGCATGGAAATGTAGCCGAGAGCCATGATAACAATGTCAATGGTTTCCGCGTGCTTGATCAGATCCACAAAGGAATTCCACGCGTCTGCAATCCAGAGCTTTACAGCTCTGCGAGATCCGTAGGCCGGGCCACGAGCAGCTCGCATGATCCATTTCTTGGATTCCTCCTCATCCTCATCCGTGGATGGGGTGGGGATCTCCTGCACGGCCCTCAAAAGTTCCGAGACTTGGTCAAAAGGCACGGTGTAAACCAGGGAAGCGTCGTGGGTAAATTGCGAGAAGAGGTTCGGGGTGTACGGCACCGAAGCGGCGGAGATATTGGCAGGGATCGGAACATCATCAGCCGCGGGAGCGGTTGAATCAGAGTTGGTGGAATCAGGGAAGATGAGGGTTGTCAGAGCCAGGTGCTGGGCAGCAGGCTTCTCGGTCTAAGATTTCATTGGGTTAATATTTCTTTCTCAGCACCGAAGAAGAGAAGGTGGGAAATGGGCTCACTTGGGAGTCAGTCCAGGCGTCTTCCGCCTGCCACTTCCACAAAGTTGATTCACCGAGTCGCAGATTGCGGCTTCCCTGGAGAAGAGCATCGGCATCAACCTGTCCCGCGACACTTCGTGGGTCTTTGGAGGTATCAAGCAGGCTTCCTTCGAGGAGACCCACATAGGTGGTACTAGCAAGGATTGCAATCGCCACGAGTGTGTGAATAGGGTGCACACAGGCTCGGCGAGAAATGGATTGGAGGCCCGATACGATCTGACGACGGATCCAGCTGGGTTGAGTTTCGCGCTCTTCCTCGGTTGAGCGAAGGCGTTTAGAGATAAACGAGGTAGCCATGGTGACGAGTCGCGGAGGAAGCGGTGAGGACGTCTGTTGAAGGCGTTGAGGGGGGTTTTAAGACGGTCCGCAAGGACCAGAACCTGCGAGGAAAGCCGTCGTGGGATGATGTCTTACACCAAAACCAATCCGGAGGGGGAAATCTTTTGAATTAGGATATAATTCTATGACCGCATGTGGGCTGCACAAGTCGGTGTTGAGGGACTGGGCAGAGTTCCGGGCTTTTTATTTTTTTCTCTCTTAGTTGGAGTCACCAATATCCAGACCAAAAGAAGACATACCGAGGGGGGAATTTGAGAAGCTCAAGGCACAGCCCTTGGAATTGGAGGTAAAAGGAAAAAAAAGTAAGGGCCCCCCTGAAGGTAAAATAATAGTTGCCCGAGACCGCTGGAATTAAGTATCGCCGACAATGGGGGTCGCCAAGCCGCCAACCAGTGGGGAATTGCTCGGGTTTCCTGCGAGGTAATTTATTTCTTGGAGAGGGTTATGGTATTTTATAAAAGAGAAAGAAAGAAAAATGAGAGAAGTGGTTGAGAAGAATAGAGAGAACAATAATAAGCCCGATCCCAAAGTCAGTCTGACATACTTTGTACATTCAGGACATTTTCTAGTATTACCATCCAGGTTACAATATTGAATACAGAATCTGCATATATGTTGTAGTGGCTTGGAGATAGTAATATTAAGGAATGTTCGAATATTTACATCAAGTATCACGAGGGTTGTTAGTATGTACAACATAGTATTTAGAGAAAACTTCCAAATCAAAACTTCCATACAGGGTTGCCTCGTACAATGTACAACCCAACCTGGAGCTATTGGATGTAGCGGCATTTGTTTATCCCTAATACGCCTTTCTTTTCATGCATTGTCGATCCTTTCAACTATAGTCATGCGACACAGCATACAACCTTGCTATCTTCAAATGTTGACCGAATTGAATTCTTTTGAATTCTTTTGAATTTTTTTGAATCTCTTTGGGAAACTATATTTCTTTAATCTTGTCTTTAATAAACAGAATGTGGGAGGGAACGATCAGCACAGACTCCACTCATTTTCATCCAAGGTTACTCTTTGCCCTGGATTCAAATGAGCGTTTGTTCCGTCCACGTCAGCCAGCCCTTATTCTGAAGAGGAAAGTCGAAAAAAACCGGACGTAGTCGGCATCCAATCTGCAACTCCATGTCAGAAAAAGAGTCCACTCAATTTCTCTGCCAGTGAGACGGAATCCACCCAGTGGAGCTACGGAGAAATCTGATAAAAATCTGATAACTCTTGAGTCAAATCATCTTCTCGGATTCACCCGACACAGACTCCATGTATCCATAATAAACTCGGTAACCGAGCTTGCCAAGTCAAAAGGAGAAAAAGATAAGATCGTTTACTCGGTGAATCCCGACAACTCCGGTAAATGAACTTCTCACCACGATGCCTTAGGTGCCTCATGTAGCTTTCCCGTTCCGTGTTAGTGCTGACATCTTGCCCTTTGGGATCACTGGGCATGGCTCCTTAGCCAAGGACCCCCGGGGCACCTCCAGCCCTGGAGCACCTGGGCATTCACTAAGTATTATATCATCCTGCCGACCCGGGCGCCCAGGCCGGGGCTGCATTTAGGCAGCCTTGCCCCCAGGTGACTGCTTACTGCGCATGCATCTTTCACAGCGCTCGTTTTCGCTTTAGATACAGAATGATTTCGATTGACCCACTGCCTTGAAAATCAGACCATACTCGCAGCCGCCCCTAACGTGTATCTTTTCTATCCCGTATCATGGTTTCTATCTTGCCCCGCTAACGAAGCAAGGGCGACGTCTCCCGATATGTCAACAGCGGGAATGATGTTATTAATCTTCTTAGTGCGAAGCTTGTCTCGGTCCCTTCTGCCTATGTAAATAGGTGTATTGGCATTAAGTGGTTCTGCACAGTGATAGTGACAGTGAAATCCTGCTAAATGACAAGTGCATATGTAAGATTCAAAGCACCCAGCATTGTGAACAAAGCAATTATTTAAAAGCTGCATTTGCTATTTGCTAGTTTGCCTATCATGGGTTATCAAAGGTTACATATAGAAAAGTCGTCTGCACAGTTTATGTCGCCTTTGTATACACCTAGAAAGACATCATACATGGCATAAAAGCACACCAGAGGTTCTCACATATAATATCCCCCGATACTATCTTGATCTTAATAGATTATATTATAAGTCTTACGTCCTCTAAGAACAGAGGCTGCATAATCGGCCGAACCTTCCAAGGTGCTTGTTCCATACAAATAGAAACTCTACCAATAGTCCCATTTTCTTTGTTTCCCTACAGCGCAATGCTCCCATGAAAACAAAAATTAAACTATGAAGCTGTCAATCATGATAATGTACAAAATCTCGGGTTTTCTTAACTGTGAGAAACTCGACATCCACTCAGATGGGACTTCTGAGAAGCGACAAATTCCGTCTTTCCATCCTCACTGCTTTTCTTCGCCCTTTTCCACTCCACGCCCATCGCACCAATAATAGGATAGCCGATGATACAACACACACTACCTAGGTAGAAAACATCCTCGGAGTACCTCATTGTATGCCTCGAGTACCCTTGTTGCAACCACCGAACCATATCGCTCTGTAACTGCTGTCTTTACAATCGAAGCGAGAACAGAAGCTTTATTCTACAAGCTATTTTGAACGGTGCTACACACAATTATGTCAGAGCCAGGAGTTTCGCACTCGCCCATTGCTCGTTCACTTCTGCAAGTACGCCGAATCGCAGTTCGTGTGGACAATATTTTCAGCACAAGACGAGAGACCGTGAATGGTAAGCCACTCAGGATCTCCTTCGAATGGGGTAGTCAAGGTTCGACCATTGCATCATGATGCATACATAACGCATTTGCCCGAATAGTACTAGTACTTATTCTCTAACCTTTTGCGTGAAAACTTCACTACAATACGTATCCAATTATTTGAATCAACAACCCACTTCAGCCTAAGCGACGACCCCGAGCCCAACTTGATCAGATCGAAGATCATGTGGGACTACCTACAGGTTGCCCATACACTTCTTGATTCATACTTGACGATTCCGCTGGAGACCTTTCCATCCCTCGCCTTCATCTCCATGCTTAATTTCGCTTTGGGCATTGTCAACGGCGGCGCACTTCTTTGCTTAGACAACCATGATCTGGGAGAAATCTCGACTTGCCACACACCCTTCAATGCTTCAGCGAACTGTTCGAGGAAGCAACCCGACTTGGTCATCCACGATGTGGTACTATGCTAGATAATTTACCCATGTTTCCTGAGTATGCAAGAAACTTCGAATAGATAGTATTCTTCTACATCCGACCATGAGACTAATAATTTTCTTTCATCTTTGACAGATCAATTGTTTGGCTACGCTGTGGAGAGTGCAAAGTCCTGGCAATAGTTATCGGAATACGCGTGCGAGGGCCTTTTATAGGGATTCCCCTATGCTATAGCAACAGTGCAGGAAACGACAATCACACTAGTTAAAGATGCTCGAGGCCCATATTATGAGAAGCTGCCTACTCTTAGATCTTACTAAGTCAAATCCTACGTAGGTAGTTTTGAGGTCTATAACCTGTAATCTAGCGAAGTAATAGCTATTTTAAATAGTACCTCCTATCTTAGAAGTATAATACCACTTACTATTTCGGTAAATGAACTTACTAAAGCCTTTGCGGGAGTCTAGTAAAGGGCCACGTATATATATATGTGTGTAATAACTAGATAGCCACGCTGGAGTGGGATGATGAGCCTCTACCGCTGCCTCGAAGCCAAACAAAGGAAACAGACATTCGCTGTCATCGCCATAAGAGTCTTTTTCCCGGAAAATAATAGTAATGGGATTACGGTGAATCTCTGGTGAGTTAATTAATTTTGGTGACAAATAAAGATAAGATTAACTATTCCAAATCAGAGGTATCAGGTATTCTGTGGATAGGGCCTCTTATGGCAGGTGACCAGGAAAAATGCAAACAGTGCAATCTTCAGGAAATTAAAGCGCTAAAGAAGGTCCTTGGTTTTCATTTTTCCCTCAGAGATCCAAGGGATTATTTTTTGTTAGTTTCGACTCCGACGGCGAAGCGCCCAGGGACCCGAATCAGCCAATGACCGTGCTTACTGAGCCTACGGACCTGCAGACTTGCAACATACTTGCAAGCTTGAAAGATCGAGCATCTAAAGTCATGCAGATGCCACGGCTACGCGCCAGGAGCGGAACCAAGCATGTCTCGAAATATTCCGTGACTCTAAATATCTCCCGAGAAAGCCCTCTCACCCAATCATTCCCTGCTTTGTCTAGAAGCCAGGGCATTGGGCCTGTATCTCAATCTATTAACAGCTTTGATTGCAATGACGGTGGATTGGTATCAGGCTCAGAGCCTCTCCAATTAGACGCACAAGACTCGAAGTCAGACAATGGTTTCTTTATGTGTAACAGATTCCCTTGAAACCTTTTCATGCCCTTCTGATCCTTGCAGCCTGGGAGTGTTTCTGTGAAAGACCAGCAATCGACCCATTGTCTATTCACGCCCATTGTCACCGGTCAATCATCCTAATGATCCTATTCATCTCGACAAAGCCCATTGTTGCAGCCTTCGACTTGGCCACTTCATCGATCTTCTACATTCAATAAATACGACACTTCCCTCTTTATCATCCTCACCTCTGTTCCCTATCCATACGATTAAAGAAAGAAAACACTGCAGTACCTACTTGAGTTGACGCTGCCGGCCGTCGTCCTCTTCAAACCCACAAACCCTCATTTTTACACCCTTTGACCTCGAACCCTACATATCCCAAACCACTATCACGATGTTGATCATCCTATTGATAGTACTCCTTGCTCTATATACCCCAATACACGCCCATTCTTGGGTGGAAGAGCTCACCCTCATTGCTCCAAATGGAACCTTTGTCGGCACTCCGGGATATGCGCGAGGGAACTACCTGCGCACGACATCAGGCTTTAGCGACACTACCATGACCTACTTAATTCCTCCCAACACAAGAGCAAATGTGACTCAGATCCTGCCAACCGACAAAATGTGCAAAGACACGCAGCAGGATCAGACTCAGTCAGAGGGAAGCCCTCGACTAGAAGCCAGCGCTGGCGCGGCGATTGCCCTTCGCTACCAGGAGAACGGCCATGTGACACTTCCCCAGAACCAGCCCGGAAAGCCCGCCAACCGTGGAACCGTTTACGTATATGGTACCACACAACCCAAGACCGGCGAGAAACTCCTTGATGTCTATGGAGCCTGGAATCAAGATGGCACTGGAGGTGATGGGCGGGGTGTGCTCTTGTCGGTTCAGAACTACGATGACGGCCGTTGCTATCAGGTCAATTCGGGGGAAATCTCAGAGACTCGACAAACGAAGTATACCCACACAGCAGACCCCCGGATGGGAACAGACCTCTGGTGTCAACAGGATATTCAACTGCCCTCCAATGCTCCCAGTGGGAAGCCCTACACACTCTATTGGGTTTGGGACTGGCCCACCGCTGCCGGTGGTGATCCCACATATCCCAATGGAAAGGCTGAGATCTACACAACTTGTATGGATGTGGACTTGGTGAACAAGGTCGGCAAGCAGGCAATCAAGAGCGACTATGAGACTGATCAAGATCTTAACAATGCTGCAATCCCTTCGCAGTTTGATGCACTCGGCGGTGCGATATCTTCTCAGCTACCCGCCCAGCCATCCTCTCAGCCATCCTCTCAGCCATCCTCTCAGCCATCCTCTCAGCCGACCACTTTTGTTACATCGCTAGCTGCGACAGGGGTTCAACCTAAAAAAGTCACAGTGACAGACTGGGAAATCAGCACCAGCACTGTATTTATGGCTGGGAGTCAACCCACGTAAAATGAGGTTGAAAGACCGAAACATCCAAGATAGGACATTGTGACTGAAAATCTGAATGAAATGACAAACCTTTTGTTCCATAGTAAGCTAGTTGTCCACTTGTAACTTGAATCAATGTATCAGATGCCCTACATACATAAATGAACCTGAAGGCATTGAAGTAGAACAATTCCATATATAGCCTTCAGTCCCAAACAGGAATAGACGAAACCAGACTTGAAACACGCTAAGGTTGGGTGGCACGTGATTGTCGACGAGTTCAAGCTTCACCCATTCACACACGCCCAACTCTGTGACTCTTGAGCGGCTGCCTTGCATATCGGCTGATTTCTGCTGCTTCCTTTGTTACGTTCCATCGGGATAAACCATATTGTCCCAACAACTAACAGCCCCGATCCCCAAATCCACCTGCGCGCTGATCATTACTCCGGTACCTACAACCTAGACAGGTATGGCAATCTCCGAGCATTCACTCGCGAGTCTATTTCTCCTCACATTTCCCATTTCCCATGTGGCCTTGACCTAATCCTTGTCACCGTGCGGTCTGCACATTCTTTCCCGCATAAGCGCTGTGCCTCCGTAACATTTGTATCTGACATTGGCCCTTTCTGCAGTTTTCTGCTATATTTAGCAATTCCCTGTCCTCGAGATCGTGGGACAAACGGCTGGAACAACGGTCTCGATTTCGCCAATCCCACTTTGAACGTATATTCTACTACGCAAACCTTGCAAACTCGCTGGCTTTTTCTCGTTGATACCATCATCTCATCGTGATATCTTCCCCGTCGCGGTTCGGCGTTCCACTCGGACCACATTTGCCCCCCCTCCCTCGTGTCGTTTGCCGATTACCCACCCATTCACCGTCCACCACACTGGAGCCCCTTTGGATAAACATCCTTTTTTTTTTGGCTCGAAAAGCTTGACATTCAAGGGCTGCCCCTTGTTTGAACCACACGGACCTAAAATCGTTTTTGGCCCCTTACGACTTTGGCGCTTGCTATATCGTACCTGAACTCAGTATCTCCTCGACCTCCGCTTACAATATATACCTCCCTTGTTCGAACCGAAGGAACACCCGCTGTCTGCGACTACAAATTACAATAACTCGGACCACGTCAATCGCAATGCGAAACTAGATCGCCAACCACGCGACCGATGAACAACCCCACATTTCCTTTTCTAAGATCCGCCTCGTTATTCCCCATTTTGAACCCAATTCTGGGTCTATCTCTATGTCAACCATGATGTCCTCTCCCACATCATCGCAGAACATTCTGTCCACAAACAATCTCTCAGTGCTGCCACCCATCCTTACCGATGGGACAGTGAAACGATCATCGACGCATCCGAAAGATCGGCTCTCCACGTATTCCAATGTCTCGTTTTCATCGCAAAATCGCTCGCGCCCAGGCTCCCATGTCTTCCCCATTTTCCATACCAGCCTTCCATATGCTCTTGTGCGAGACTTCGCGTACCCATCCACCCACCCCCTCCATTACGGGCCTCCCCCTCCTCGTGCCTCCGGGGTCTCCACACCGGCAAGTGAACATCGACGTCTCTCCGATCCACCACCTTCGTGGGATATATCGCGGGGATGGTCAACTGGCCAATCGAGCACAGAACCTCAGATTAGCCATGTCCACCAACAGTTGCCAGCGATGTCCTTTGGGGATGGACCACCATACAGCGAGGATGAAGACCTGCATAGCCCAGTTGTGACCTCGCGTCATCGCAAGAAGTCTTCTGACATAAATGGTCTTGTAGATGAGAGGGTCATGTCTGGAACTGGCCAGGCGGTTAGCAATGATCGCGGAATGCTCGTTGGCATTAACGCCGATGGCAGTGAGACTTATTATGTAAATGATGGTGACACGTCAGATGATGGGCCAGGCGGTGAGTACGTTACATATCCGGCAAATGAAGGGCGCTATTCAATCATGGGATACAGCGCCCAAGGCGGCCAGCAGGGCTATGAACATGATACTGGCTTTGAGTCCGAAGATGAAATCCCTGGTGGAAACCGATACTCTAGAGACTATCAGTTTGCCGTTGGCTGCCCGGATGAAGAGATGCATGGAAAAGCCGTTGCACTCTTTGACTTCACACGAGAGCATGAGAATGAACTGCCTCTTACCGAGGGCCAGGTGATTTATGTTTCATACCGGCATGGCCAGGGTTGGCTAGTCGCAGAAGATCCCAAGACAGGGGAGAATGGCCTTGTCCCGGAGGAGTTTGTGCGTCTTCTGCGAGACATCGAAGGAGGTTTGACATCGTTGAATGGGGAACCGAATCCTGAGGTCACCGGGACTGCAGATGTCAATCTAGGGTCCACCGAGTCTGACCAAATATCTACGCCTACCCAGATAGAGCAGCCTTCACCTAACGTGAACGCCCAGTCTGAAAACAAAGCCACCAACGGCAACGGCAATACCCCAGCTGCAGTCTCAACAGAAGACGCAGATGCATCCCAACCTGTGTCGGATACCAAGATCCCGACTGGTAAAGCGGCGGAGGGCGCCGACAAGCGCTCTAGTACGCTGAACAAAACCTGATCTAATCGAACATTAGCCCTGAATAGCTTTGTTCCATAGAAAACCTTGGCGGTGCTCCGTGCACGAATCATTTGGGGAGATGGCTTGTCTGTTTCAAGTTGCAAACTGCCATGAAACCCTGACAGCCGATAAGCAAAGCTTGGCACCCTCCACTTTCCTGTAACTTCGGAGATTTCAGACATGAAACATCTACAGTTGGCTCGCTATATGAGTTGTTTCATCGATAAACACTCAACCAGCACCTTGGCGGATCACCCGCCAAACCCGAACCGTCCAATCTCCGAGACATTTCATGAGCTCCCTCTCAAGAGGTCTTTTTTTTTCTTTCAACCTTTTCTTCGGACGCTTTCGTCAGATATAAACCCTCTTCTTTCTTTCCACCCTCATGTTCAACCCATCTTCCCGCGATGAATCATTACCGCAAGTTCCTCTTTATTAACGTATATCATCTCCACGATTCCAGATTCCAATTCATGTCATCTAATCATCCACATCGGAGAAACATAACCTGGGATTGAAGAGGATTGAGGATCCTCTTACTACATACCCCAAGTCTTTCGCCATATTGTCGCCTTATCTGTTCTGTCTTCCCACCATGTCTCTTATTACACCCTATCGTCCGTCCTCCCTCTCCTGTATTTAGTTCCCTTCAGCGCAGCCGTTATACCAGCATCAATGAGCATCAGCATAATGCCGATTCAAATCTATTCAATTACCACTTATCATAAGATGTATCTTTGGTTATATATAGAAAAGTCCTCTGTACACATGTGCAGTTTATGCTTTTTAGTGCCTCCACGTACAAAAAGACATATATAAAGACCACCTAAAAATACACCATAAGGCCCCATAAGCGGTCAACTATCCTTGTATTATTTAGCCTAGATCAATATGTCTACACGTCCTCTTCAAATGTCAATCTACTGCAGCTCATTCACCATGAAACCCCTGCAAGAAGGCTTAGAGAGATGCAAAACCGGTACCTGGCATTCAACCCGGCCGGACAAGGTAGGTAGGGCCGGTCCATCATGATAACCTGGCCTTTTGCCTCGCAGAAAACTATCGAGCCATCCATGACCTCGGATGAATGGGAGGATAGAGGTTACCACCAGGTTTGTATAAGAAAGAGTAGGAAGTAGATCGTAAACAACATAGAAGTACGAGCAATGAAGAGGCCCCAATGTATGCATGGATACTGCTGATAGATAAAACACATATCAATGTATCATTCTTCAGCGAGATATAGACCCACGAGCAAAACACCAAATATGTGGAGATCTGGCATGTCCAGCGCCTGGGACGAGCGTAGAAGAAATCGTTGAGGACGACACTTTTTTTTACGCCAAGTAAGATAACAGCAAAAGTTTTCGCAGCTCTCTGCTATAGTGCAGATATACCTAGGAAACCATCTGGAGAAGAGAACAAATGGGAAAATGGAATGGAGTATACAAAAACAGCAGAAGAAAAAGAGAGGGAAAAAAAGACGATGTCAAATCTGGAATTCTGAATGCTAAAATCGTGGCCACATATCGCAAATGTAAGAAGCGAGCATGGACTCAGTTGAGGAAAGAGAGGTATGGCGAGTTGCTTTGCTAGCTGATCAACCAAGCAGATCATCAAAGGCCGAGCTAGACTGTTGCTTGTGCTGGGGCTGGCTGGGTGTGGAGGAGGTGCTAGAGGGAGCTGGAGCGCCCCAGATGCCGGCACTAGCTTTTTCCTTGGCCATGCTGGCGAGGTTGGGGCCCTTGTTTGTGCCGGTGTTGGATTTCTGGATGCCGGCGCTGGCGCTGGCGGTCGACCACAGCGAGCCGAAGGCGTCACCCGAGGGCTTCTTTGCTGCTGCTGGCTTGTTCGCTGTGATGGGGGAAGCCACGGAGGACATGGATGTGGTGGCACCGTGAGAGGAACCAGAATGTTGGGGCACGTTGACAGAGGTGAAGTAGTTGGGTGTGGCAGCTTGGTATCCGGAAGGCTTCTGCTGTTGCATCGGGGCCATCTGCGAAAGGGGAGTTGGGATCCCGCTGGAAGAGGGAGTGGGAGTGGCCGATTTGAAGCCAACTAGACCGTTGATGTCGGCACCCTGCGAGGCCGAGATTGGCTGAGGCGCAACGAATTGGGTGTTCGAACTTGTGCTGGCAGTGGAAGCTGGAGGGGGGATGCCGAACTGGTTTGACAACTGAGTAGGCTGGGTAGCCGGAGTTGCGGACTGGAAGTCATCAAAGTCGTCATCGTCATCGGCTGGGGTTGGGTCTAGTATGTTGAGAGCACTGCCGGCAGGTTGCTTGCCGGCTGAGGTGGAAGCTGTAGTAGTAACAGGCTCGTCGTCGCCGAAGTCGAAGAGGTCTGCTACAGGCGCAGGAGCTGGCTCGGGCTTCTTTGCTTGGGGCTTCGCCCGAGCGGCAGGCTCACGCGGGCGTGCGGGGGCATCTCCCTCGTCATACTCGTCATACTCTTCGAAGCGGTTGGACCGGCGTCCGGTGTCCTGGAAATCAACGCCAGCTTGGCCGCCAGATTCCCCACCAAAGCCACCGCCGTCACCGAAGACACCTCCGCTATATCCACCGTACCCCATACTCTCGCTGCCAAAGCCTCCATAACGGCCTGAGCCCGAGCTAGACATGCCTGATCCGACACCCATACCGCCTTCGAAACCACTGAACTTGTTGCGGTTGTTCTTGGCCTTCTTTCTTTCGGTCCGAATCTGATCCACATCACCCAGCAATTTCACCAGCTCGGACGACCGGTTACGCACATTTATACCTTGGTCTTTGCCGTTCATATCGATGTAGTGGAACTGCCGGAGCATCCGAATCAACGACATGTGGGATCTTGCATCATCGACGACTCGCTCGGAACCGTTCTTGACAAGAAATTCGAGGAGCTGGAGACTCTATAAGTTGGAGAGAAGATAGCGTTAGTCATAGCACATCCGCATAAATAACCAAGCTTCTCTTACCTTGTAGATCTGTCGCCATTCCTCTGCAGCCTTGTCGGTGAATCGCTTGTAGATAAGGGGCATGATTTCATTGAGCAATTGGCTGTGGTAACGGAAGGTCAGCACATGCGCATTGGTGTGGGTAAGATCAGGCAACATGGACTGACTAGCTATGCGTTCCATTGGCGATATCCTGCATCAACGTGGTCGAGGCACCCCAGGGTTCATTGTTTGTGGCTTCCCGGACCTGACTTGTGTAAGCGTTGGATCGCATAATATCCTCATCT